GTGAGATAGTTCTGCAGGGCGGTGACGGCAGCGCACACCGCCGGGCTCCCGAAGCCATGCGAGATGAGGTTGAAGTGGGTCAGGCAGCTCTGGATGCCCGGCTCCAAAATGGGGTTGGGCCGTGAGTTCCCCAGGGGAGATCGGTCCTGAGCCAGCAGGTCGGTGAACTCTTTACAGATCTGTCTGTAGCACAAATGGAGCAGAGAACAGAGGGAGGGAGGGAGGGTGAGAGGGAGGGAGAGAAATGAACTGACACTGGCAGCAGCAAAGCCTGTGCATGCTCCCTGACAGATTACACAAGCCCCTGGATCAAGGGGGCTGCTGCCCCTGAGTGCACACGCACTCTCTCGCCTGTCCCTCTCCTCTCTACACATCCTTCCCCCCCTAATTCTCACACTTCCCCACCACACACAAACCTCTTCCCTTCACCTTGCATGCACACACAGGACTCAGCCAACACACAGGCAAAAATAAGAGACACGGCGATACACACATCTCCTGCCTACCACTGCTGATCCCCATACAGCAGCCCCCCCACACCCTCCCCGCAAACACACATCCCTGCCCAGCTGGGTTTTGGAGCAGACACGCAGTTTAAAGTTCCTGAGCAGGGTGGAAGGGAATAGATGAGGTGCGATATCCACAAGGAGTTTCAAGGATTTATCCACATCTTGGAAGATTTTTTTTTTTTTGGAACTGGAGAGAGGGGCGGGCCTCTCCCTTCACAAGGCTAAAACGTGCCTGACTGTCAGGAAGAAAGAGTGAGGGCAGAGACGGGAATCGAGGCTTTAAATTAGGGTATTCTGAAACATTTATACATATGCATCTATATCTCCAAATCCAAAGGGACCTTCCCACAGAGGGGAAGGCTGACGCTAACTGGAGTCTGGAAATTTCCTTCCAGGGAGGCTGGAAGACAGGATATGAGGGCATGGTACAGAAGTTAGGTTATATCATCCACTTGCTGCACAAATGGCTGGAGAAATAACACACCTTATAGCAAGAGAGTTCAGAGACATGTTGAAATAGTTTGTATTTTAAAACCTGCATTAATGTCTTCCAGCCATAAAGCAGCTCCGATCTTCTGCCTGCGCCCTCTGGCACCATGCCCTTTGGTGACACCTCCATTGGTAATTAAGGGCTACTAAACAACCCTTTTAATTTCCAGCAAACATATCAAAACAATAATTTTCTTTTCACACACCACCTGGAAGTCTAGGCAGCCCCACCAATGATAAACTCCACTAGCATTTTAACTGCGTACAAATTGTCATTTAAAATATATTTTTAATATCCCTATATTCACTAAGTAACAGAGCTGCTTAGGCAGAAAGAACCATTGACGATTTTAATGAACTGAAATCGGTTCAATGTGCCAGTTTTATTTTACTGTCAATGGGAAGCCTTCCCCTTCTACCTAAATTGATAAGCTCAGTGAAAAGGCCCACAAAATGTTTTGCTCTGAAGAATTACTGCTTTTTCTTTAACTAAACATCCACCCACAATTTTCACGGCTCGCTTTCAAGGTAATCTGCATGAACTGACTTGATGGAAACCAAGCTGGTTATAGAGTTCTGCTATATCAGGAGGGCAAATACACCCCCTCACAATTTGCAAAACCATCAGCCACTGGCTATGTGGCAATCGCTCACAAGTCCGAGTCCCAAACCCGGGTTTGTCACCCTCCCCTCACTTCTGAGCAACATGCCAGAAAGGTAAAGGTCTTACTTTGTAGCTAGAAGCATGTTTTTTCTTGTGACTTGCTCGTTTGGATCGGAATGTTGTCGGTTCAGAAATTCAGCCACTGCTTTGGCAGGAAATTCTGTCTCACAAACGTACCCAAAATCTCTAGCTAGATGAACTGCTTCTCCTGAAAAGGAAGGCATGGGTGGAGATGGGAGGGAAACACACAGCTCATCAGTACACATCGCACAGAGGCTAAAATCCATTAAAAAAAAAAAAAAGGTGCAACATTCTACTTGGGCTTTTCTTGTTAAACGCTTGGACTTTTTTTTCTTTGAAAAAGGTAGGATAAGAAATGCTAATCACATCTTATCTTGCAGTTTTCTTTCCTTCAGTCGAGGGCAATGCAAATGTGTATTTTCATGACAATCGTTACAAGTGAAATCTCGCATAAGAATTTTTTTAAGTTTGCATTGATGAACAGATACTTTTACTTTCAGACAGGCAGGCTCTATGTACCTAGAATGTGTGCTTAGATTTACATATCCATACCTATACACAGACATTTATGTACATTTCATTCACAGCTATTTACTCTGGAAATGTTTCTTTGCCTCAGCCACATCTCTATATTCTTTTGCAATCCATCAATGATTAATATTGATCATAATTACTCCTAGAGCTCTTCTAAAGAAAATGCATTAAATGGCTAAGTGTTTAAAATTTAACTTGATTGCATGTAATTATATGTTCACCCCCAAACGATTAACCATGAGAATTTTAGGGTCATTCCACTGACTCTGTCTGTTTTGTTGATTTTCAAATCTTTGGTTTTAATTTCCTGAACCAGTTGGTTTTTACTGCAGGGCTTCCTGCCATTAGCTCTAGCTCCGGAAGAACGCATGCGCCAATTAGAGCTTCAAAGCCTCAGTCCAGTGAGCTTGTTTCCATAAAATGGAGCGGATCATAAACAATAACAGTACTCTAGAAACTGCCTCATTGCTACAGGACTCAAAGTCCCAGCAATGTTTATACTATCATCCCCTCAAAATTAGCCACTATCACCAAGTTATCTGGAGATCGGGCCTCTGGTTTTGTTTTTTTTAAAAAAATCATTCTTTTAAAGCCATTGTATGTGAAAGCCAAACAGAACAATAGATTACCATAAAACTGTCTCCATATTCATTAACATCACAAATAATGTTAAACATCTACCAAATCTAGACTTTTTACAAGTTTTCCCCTCGTGATACAGCATGTCAATGCAATTGCAAAAGCTTTAAAAAAACATGAAGATGCAGTAATTTTCACACAGTATAAATATAGTGCAGCCACTAATCCTGATGTTTCAAAAAATGAAGCCTGGCATTGCACAGTGCTTCTCTCCCTGTCCCTTTGAACATGAAACATTTCTCACAGAATGCGAAGCGACAACAAAACAAAGCAATGAATTCTCTC